GCCATAAGCTTGGTTCCCTCCGGGGACAATTCGTACGAAAGGAAAGTCTCCGCGTTGAGAACTGCGTGAAATTTCTCTGATTATTATATATGAAAGCTGCACTTTCCATGAGTGTTTGATTCCTGAGTGGTGCACGGTCCCGTAAAGTTGGAAAGGCATTTAACTTCAAATCATCAAAGCTATTAGCAAACTGTCCACGAGTTTCGACGTGTTTAGTTTTTGGATTCCACAAGACGTCATTGTAGTTGAATAAATGATTTAAAAGGTCCCTGAAAATGAAAACAGAAATTAATTGAATCGTACTTTTTTCCTCCTAATTTCTGTCCACGTCGTAACTTGTTAGTAGTTTACATTCTGTTATAATCTCTCAATAATTTTAATTTGCAATGTGATGTTATGGTCTCCATGACTGGCCCTACTTATTCGTTTCTGTTTTTCCCCTTTTTCTTGTATGATATAAATCAAAGTTCAGTCTGCGCGTGATAAACAAGTAACGAAAACTTGCCTCGCTCTCGAAATGTTGCTCAGTTGCCTGATGAATATATATCAGCGGGGGATGAGTTCCAATCCCTTCGAAGTCTAAATAAGACAAACAAGTCCAGGCCGCAATTCACTTGTGAGGATCAGTTATTTTCTAGTAGCTCATCTATGCCTGGGTATCCTTATATTACATCTCAATATTTAATGGTCAGCATTTATACTCTAGGATATTTCTATGAAATGGCTCGGCGTAGTTTTGTACTCTTAACAATTTCTAGGTACCTTTGAGCATTTCAAAAAACTGTCACGATTCATATTTTTTGACCACCAGCTAAGTAACAATTTTGAGATAAATTGACGCTTACATTTCTGCATAGTTGTCAGCGGAAATGTCCCACTGCCCTAAGCCTGGAAAAAAAAAAAAAAAGTCGTCGTCATAGGTTGGTGGAGCGAGTAAACGATGTAAAATAACTTTTAGTCCTTAATTCAACGATAGATAGCTATTGATTGCTACACAGATACAGCTTGATTCTGGTGTTATGTTAAACTTACCAACTACAACATCCGGTACTTGGGGAAAAAC